AATCCAACTCTTATGCCTTCCATCTCTTTCCCTCTCAGTATAAGCTGTTCCTCTTCCTTCTTTTTCTCCCTTCTACCTTTCCTCCTCTCCTTCCTCCCGACTTCCCTCTATCCTCCCTCTCCTCCTAGGCTTCTGCCTTCCCTTTCTCCTTTGCCCTTCCTTTCTTCCTATTCCCCCTGTCTCTGTGATTTTCCCTCTCTCACTGTTTCTTCCTCTTTTCCTATTATTTCCTTTTCTGCGTCTCAACTCCTTCCCTTAACTTCTTTTTATCATTATCCCATCTTCATCATATTTCTACCCATATTCCCCTCTCCCCATATCCTTCTTCCTTTTGTCCTCTCCCTTAACGCTGCCTGCCTAATTTCCCATTTACTCCTCCTCTCTCCCCATGTCAAATCTTCTATCCACGTCTCTCTCCCTTTTAATTTCCATTTATTTGCCAATATCTTTCTTTTCATCACTTCAATTCTCATTTTTACTATTATCATGTCTCCCTTCTCTCTCTTGCTCCGTCCTATTCTCCTTATTTCGTCCACTTCCACGTCCCCTCCTGTTTTCCGAAATAGTTCCTCTACTGTTTTTTTCTCCCCTTCTCCCTCCTTTAATCCTCTTATTAGGATGTTTCTTTTCCTATCCCCTCTCTCCTTCGTCTCCCATCTTCTTTCCAGTTTCCTTACTCTTTCTTTCCATTCATCAATTTCTATATTTCTTTTTCCTTTTACTACTTCTGCACCCTCCCTTATTCTCTTACCCTCCCCTTCAACTTTACTTTCTAATTCCATCCTCTCCAGTTTCTTTTCTATTCTTCCCTTTACTTTTTCCTTTTCCTTCCTCCATTTCTCTTCCCTTATTCTTAATTCATTTTTTATCTTTTCCACCTCTATCCTCATTACCTCTTTCTGTTCCTCCGCTATTTATCTCCTGTCTTACCTTTCTCAGCTCTTCTTTCATCTCATCCATCATCTTTCTCAGCATCCTTATCATCTCTTCCTTCCCTCCCTCTCTCTGCGGCGATCTTAGTATCATTTTACTCTTCTTAAAAATTTCCTCCTCTCTCTTCTCGTCTACTAAATCCTTTCCTAATAATTCTCTCTTTCTTTTAGCCTGCTTCTCTATACTTTCTCCTGTACTGTCATAACGTTCTTTTCTCGCTCGTTATTTCTCTTCTATTTCCTGCTTATTCTATGTTCAATGCCTACTCCAGAGTCACCGTCTCCACTCTCCTACCGTGCCTCTCTATCTCTCTATGCCTATCTCTCCTATATCGTTTCCCGTCTAATTCATCTTTTAATCTTACTTGCTTCTGTTTCTTCCAACCTCTCTCCCTACTCTCCTCCTCTTTGCTCCTCCCTTTTTCCAGTCCTTTAAGCTTCTCCCCACTTTTCCTCTTTCTCTGATCATTTGTCTCTCTCACACCGTCACACAGAAACGCAATTTCACTCACTCTTACAAAAATTCTCCACTGACGATCAAAACTACCGGAAACGGAAGTCAAGCGCAAATAGATAAAAAATTATAAAAATGTGAATAATATAATAATTATAAGAGTGAAATTAAGAGTTAACAATCAGACGCATAAGTCTTTATGCATTTAAAATTCCCCTTTGTTTTTATCGTATTATTTGTTATTTTTGTTAAGAAAAATTGCTGAAGAAGGCCGTGAAGCCGAAAACGTACAATATCAAATTTATATTGAAGGTGACACTGCTAATTATTGTTTTTACAATAAATATTGTTTACTCGAATTTGTTTTTATCACGTCATTTCGTTTTCGCTCGTTCATTGGCCTCTCTTTCCTCTTATTGATAATAATCATAATTCCAATTATTGATAATAATCATAAGCATAATCATAATTTTAATAATGATAGTGGGGTGGAGATGTAGTTTTATTTGCATACATTGTTTACATAAATAGCGGGTGAAGAAATTTTGATAAAAATTTCGAAACCATTATTTCACTCCTGCAATTCTTCTTGAATTTGTCTTACTACTTCTTCAAAATTTAACTGTTTTTTTTTATATATTCTACCGAGATGTTATCGACATTACATAACATTTTTTTACATTGTATGCGTAATTTTCTTCGTCGTCAGTGAGTTCTATTTTTTTCTGCATTTGGTATATTAAATGCAGTTTAAAAATCCAATGATTTTTGCTCTTCCATTTTATGTTAATTATTTAAATAATTACTTATTTAAATAGCTAAATTATAATGAATTTAATGTATTTTTGTAATAACTGATTATTTTACAAAAAATTTGAACAAGAAGAATGAATAATCTTGTATAATATATAGATCATGTATTACTATGTCTAAAAATCTTTAAAAAATATTATCAAAATTAATAAATTGTTGATTAAAAAATTCTTAAGTTAATTAAAATAAATAACTATAATTTCAACTTAAAGAATTTATAAAATAAAAATATATGAAAATACAAACAACAATAAAAACTTTCATAACTTTCTTTTTAAGTATATATTCATTTATTAAGCTCATATCTCTCACTTGTATCAATCGATAATATTTTAGAGCAGGGGTCGGCAAGTGAGCACTGCTCGCGGGCGCTCAATGCCCGCGGACAACAGTCGAGCGCGCTGGGGCTAACATTAGGCGGCTAGACGCAATAAAGTGAAGAGAGGGGATAGCAGGAACGTCTGTTTGTTGAATGTGCTATTCAAGGAGTAAAAAAATATTGTGTTGCACAAATTCAAACCCAGAATTAGCATAAATTAGTAACTATCTATATTTTAAATAAACCATTCTTACAATAATATTAAATAAGCAACTCTTATAACATTTAATTAATATTTGATTCATATTCAGTTTTCCGATATTATATACGATATCAGATGTTATCGTTTTGGCACAACTTAAAGGAATTATTACATTTAAATATGAATCTGTTAACTGTTCGCGTAATCGCGATTTATTTAATTTCATAATAGAAAATAATTGTTCACACGAATATATAGAACCGAACATACTCATTATTTTTGCAGCACGAGCATGTAGTCGAGGAAAACGTTCTTGAGATATATATGAATAAAATTGTACGATGTCAGTAATAGTATCAAAACGATTTTTAAGAGCAGTATCACATTTTAAATCTATTAATTCTAATTGTATATCTGCGGGAACAATATTAATATCAACAGTAAAAAATGTCATAAAAATAAATAAGTCTTCTTCTAAAATATGCATTTCCCTAAACCGACAATCGAATTCATTATGTAATAATTGAAGTGAATTTATATATTCTTCATATTGCTTATTTTGAATGTGCATGGCAACAGATAATAAATTTGAAAAATGTAACAACTGTCGAGATTGAAATTGATTGATCCATAAATTAAGTTTCATTTTAAAAGATCTAATTTGATCAAACATATGAATAATTAATTTATCTTTGCCTTGTAGAGAGTAATTTAATATATTTAAATGATTAGTGATATCCGCAAGAAAGGCGAGATTGGCAATCCAGGAAGGCTGTGATAGTTCAGACACAGATTTATCTTTCATTTCTAAAAATATAATTATTTCTTCGCGTAAATGAAAAAAACGCTGAAGTTTTACCTCGACTAAGCCATCGTGTTTCGCAAAAATAGGAGATATCGGTATAATCTGACTCTAAAGAAGATAAAAATTCGCGAAATTGATGATGATTCGATCCAGTTCTAATAAAATTTACAACTTCGATTACAATTTTCATTACTTCATCATACTTTAAAAATTTTGCACATAATGCCTCTTGATGGATGATATAATGGATCGAATGTATTTCTTGTTTTGATTGTGCTAGTTTAGATTTTAAACGTCCTACGAAGCCCATATTGTGTCCAATCATTGTTGCAGCACCATCAATAGCAACTGAAGTTAATTTATCTCAAGATAGATTTATGTTTTCTATTGCTTCTTCAACATTAAACAATATATTTTCTCCAGTCGTAGTACCTTTCAGAGGTATTATATTTAAAAGTTCTTCAGTAATTGATAACAACAGAGAGGTTGTTATCCACATCACGAATAAAAATTGCTAATTGTGCAGTATCAACGATATCAGTACTTTCGTCGAAAGCTAATGAAAAAGCAATAAAATTGTTTGCTTTTAGTACCAATTGTCGCTCGAGATCTTCAGTTAATTTTTCAATGCGACGTACAGTTCGAGAAGAGAGACTAATTGATTTAAATTTATTAATATCATTAGGATATATTGTTTCTGCGGCAATTTCTAAACATTGTTTGACAAATGGACCAATGCTAAATGGACGTGATTCACGTGCAATAAGATGAGCAATTTTGTAACTGGCACAATGCAGGCTTACTTAATTCCGATTCTTCTTCCTGTATTAGAATAATATCTTTATTAAATGTAATGTACCTGATAAAAATTTTTATGTAGTTTTATATATTTTTATATATCTTTATATATATTTATACATGTTTATATGCATATATGTTCTTATACGAAAAATTTTTTACCGGGTATAATTAAATATAATGAATTAAATTAAAACTATCTACAGTAAAAAACGCATATTTTATATTATAATAGTATATATATTATGAAAATTACTTTATTGTTGGAAACAGCTGATTTTAAATCGTGCAAAAGTTGAATTCGCTCCGATCCTTCTATCTTGTCTATAAGTCCATGTTTTGTGTTATAGTGTCTTCCGACATTATATTTCTTTGAATTCATAATGATTTCACAGACATATTTTTAAATATTGTAAGTCAAAAATTGTGCTTTAGCATATTTATTAAAATTTATTAAAAACTGTGTAATATAATTATTACATTTAAATATGTTTAACAAAAATTTAAATATAACAAAGATATAAAACAATAATATAAACAATAACAATGTATTAAAATATAAACTTATAATACAATCATAAAATTATGAATACATATATCACATTTAACAGAAATTAGCGCTTTAAAATTATATTTTTAAATCCGAAAGAATAGTTCTTTTTATATGTATTGATTATTTAATGATTATTTATTTATTTAATTGATTGTTTTAATATGATTATTAATTGTTTAATTATTGCGTAATATTTCTTTTATTATATATTTAAAAACAAGTTATGTGTAAAATTATAACTATTATTGCGGGTTTGGACATTGAATCTCTTACAACTCTGAAGCAGCCGATATTAAAAATTATTTTAAAAAATAATAAATTCGCGAAATTGTATTAAAAAAATAAGAAAGCTTGTATTCAGTAAAAATAGTTGAGAAGTTAAGAAAAACAGTTGAAAAACAATTGCCATCTCTTAGCAATAAAATAGTAAACAAAGAAAAAAGCAACGCACGGAAGCGACGCACAGTTGATTGAGACATATAAACAATGGTTCAAAAATAAGACAAATTATTCAATAACAATAAAAAGTTATTAATAAATAAAAATGTGAAAATTAAAATAAATATTTTTCAAATGAATACTATAATGTATATTTAAAGTTTAAATTTGTAATAATATAATTATAAAAAGTATTATTTCTATACATAAAAGTATTATTTCACGTTACGTTGTATTGTATCATTTTTATACATTTAAATCAAACAGACATACAAAAACTTGGCGCGCCCGGGTCACATTAAAACTACTTTCAATAATCATCGTATCATAGGTGAATAGACAGTTTTCTAAATTCAAATAACAGATTTTATTATTTTTTATTTATGTTCTTATACTTACTTTGTTTGATTTTAAGATTGCTTTCTAATAATATGTTATATTTCTAATAATATATTATTATTAATATGTATTATTATTTAAATATATCGCTCTATTTAAAATATATAGCAGAATGCGTGGCAGAATAGTATAATTATATATATCGTGCAATATTGAAACTGTTTTGGAATTCTGATTGTTATTAGTTAAAAAACATATGTTCGGTGTTTAATATGTTTAATGAAACGTTATTGTTATATGAAGCATCAAATCCTTTATAGATATGATTATTAGGTCTTATTTTTCGAAACTTTGAAATATAATAATTTATATAACTTGGCAATTATTGATATCAAATCTTTTATACAAATGGTATACATGGTATTATTTAAGAAATATATCACTTAGATTGGATACATATTATTTGAATTAAGTTAGGTGATGCAATTTCATGATATCATTATTTTTTTAAAAAGAATTAAAACTACTGTCATTTGAGTTAGAATAAGAAGGCTTTAATGGGAATATAAAGATACACATGGATTTTATTTTTTAAAAGCAGTTGTATATTGAACTTTCGAGATAACGTAACTTGGCACCTATAATTTGGCGCCACTTTTTGATCAATCTTTGATAAATCTTTTATACAAATAATACATATTATTATAGGTGAGTATTATATATTATTTGAACATCAGTAAGATGACGTAATTTTGTAATATAAGCACAACGAGAGTAAATAGGATAAAGAACGAAAGAACGAGCGAATATAAAATAACATATAGAAACAAAAGAGAAAATATGCTATCTCGCATATTTTCTCTTTTGTTTTTATGCGTTATTTTACATTCAATTATATCATTTTTATACACATATACCTTTTATACATATAACTTTAATTGTAAATATAATTCTATCTTACTTACGATAAAAGAAGTTAATTTTATTTGCACACAACAAACTTATAAATGCGCGGAAAACTATTACAATAAATCTTCTAATCCACAATGATAATTGTAATTTCACACATAACTTTTTATAAAATATATAATTGAACATACTCAAGGCTTATTAAAATCGAGGGGGGGGGGGCACTTCCGATACTTCCCTTGTTAATAGTCGAAAGGATAAGGTACACAGTGATTCAGGTTTGATTACTGATGTGATATTTTTCGCAAAAATAATTACGAATTTTCACGACTGGTTTGTGATCGGGTTCTTGCCGTGACATACAACCTCCCTATAACTTACTCTCTTTATAACTTGAACGAATTATACAATTGACTCCAGTGTGCTTGTTAAATAATTCGATAAAAACCTGAAATTTTCAAAAAAGTTCGCGACTCTGTAAATGAAAAGCGTAAATATCAAGCGTATATATAGAAATGGAAAGAGGACATGTGGAATATTTTTTATACGTATTGAAATAAAGATTTAGACAGATTATCTTCTTCTCACATCACATGCGATATATAAACGTCAGTAAGTTAATCATGATGGTATCATATAAAAATGTTTGTATCTTAAAAATGATTGACTTTCGACTTACGTTTATTAAGATTTTTTTTTACTTAGTATGATGAATTCTATCTTTACCATAAATATTGAATGACTTTTTCAACACACCGCACACACACGCGCCACACACACACACACACACACACACACACACACACACACACACACACACACACACACACACACACACACACACACACACACACACACACACACACACACACACTACTAGTGTATATCGTATTGTTTCTAGGCTGAATAGATTTAGTTACAGTTTTCTAAGACATAGCACATAAATAATAGATATTTGTAAATTAAACTAAGAACTTACTGTACTATAATTAGAACTTACTGTTAAATTAGCGGCGTAAATTTCCCGGTAACGTAAACAATCAATAGTGGTACAGTGATTTACTTTGTCTTTATTTTTAAGTTAGTCTATTGAAAAATTAACGTCAAATAAGATCCGATACGAATCAACATACAGCAAGTTACCTTCTATCAATAAGACGTCGCTTTATTGAAGAAAGTAAAGTTTACTATGGATAATTAGGTATTAAATTTAGTAAGAATACAAACGAAGTATATATATATATATATATATATACATCAAAACTTTTGATTAATTAATTACCAAAATCATCAAGTTATAATACGTAATAATACGAGAAAATCTTTTTCTAATGTGAAAGTTTTGATAAACTATATATTGCGTGTTACTCTATACAAACTTTATATGTACTATATATCGAAACTGAAATGATTTTGTTTGCTGGAAGCATGTGAGTAAATGGCCGTAGGAGGATTGTATCAGCCTTTAAACAACTTACTATGGGCATCTGCCTGGACACTGGTGAGTATATCTATAGTGAATAGTTATTATATTAGTACTTACATTAGAAAGCTCCATTTCATTTAATCAGCATTAATCAAAAGGCTCGAAATATTTTTTTATGCGATACTTTCTTTACGATTTTATATTTTGTTCAAATCTTATTAAAATAGTACAATACTTTATTTCTATTAAAAAATATAATTAAAATTTTAGAATTTTATGTATACAAAATGTCCCAAAATTATGGATGTCCTTTTATTTTGTTGAATTCTGTGGAATATTTTAAGACAAAATCTTTATACAAATCTTTATACAAAAATCTTTATACAAAAATTTAAGATTATAATAGCTTTTGAGAATAGACAACATTTAAAATTGATTAATTAGCTCGCAGAAAATTTGCGCAATAACAAGGAAATAGATCGAATTGTTTCTTTCCAATTTTGATGAGCTTTTAATATGTTATATTCCAGATCAAAATAAAATATGTATTTTTTAACTGTGCCTATATGCACTTTTAGGGGATGAAACATTTCTTTGAAACATGTTTTTAAAAAAATTGATTATTTTTTTCGTGAATATCATCAAAATTATAAAAGATAAAAAAAAATGTTTCAAATAAAAGTTGAATGGTTTCAAGAATATTTTATACAATATAAAAAATTATTTTTTCAACCTCTTTTTAATTTTCTTATATACCTTTATTACACTTCTTTTTAATTTTGAAATTTTTTAATAACGAAATTAAAGGTTATTTTAATATGAATTCAATCATGAGAAAATTATTTTCCAAAATATCATTTTTTGGAAATAAATATTTCTATACGCATATTATCTGTATCTGTTTATACACTCTGTTCTTCATGCTGCATGTTCTGCTTGCATCTTTTTGAGTAAAAAGACATAATAATGGAGACAAATACATTTTGAGAACATATATTTACGAAAAGTTTTAACATGCATGCTCAAAACATTTATGTAACGAGCTTGAATATATAACAAGTTCATAATGTCAAAATATGAAAAGAGTAAATGATCCATGAATGATCCAAAATGTAAATATAGCGTGAAATAATAAACAAGCGACAAAATTATATATTTCTAATATATTTCTAATATAGCACTAACTGAATTATGTAGATAGAAATATAATGGAATACATGTTGCACTTATATTAATTATATTTATTATTTTTATGTACAAATAAAATCAATACTTTATCGAAATCATAGAACATTGTTTTTCTTTAATATTGTATTAATTTAAAGGCAACAAGAGAAATAAAATTGTAAGAAAATAGAATTAATAATTATATTTAAAGAAAAATAAAAGATAAATGTTTTACTTTATTTTCAAACTAATAAATATATATATATTTTATCTTTTAAATCTTTATGAGAAACTCATTTTAATAAAAAAACAAGAATAATCTTATGTTAGTGTATAATGTAGGCCTACATTATTAGTAATAGTATAAAATATTGTCGCTCTGTACGTGTTAGTTTAATACATTAAAATATATCAATGTATCGTTACGCGTTTGTAAGTATACGAATATTTTGTTAACACTTATGTTTCTTGAACAATTTTACTTTTAGTTTTCAAAAATTAATTATTACATAAAGTTTTTATTTATCATATTATGCGTTGTATGCGTAAAAATATCTTTTAATACTTCGTATTACTTTTATGAAAAAAACATATAATAGACACATCATACAAATGTTTATATATTATATATTATATAGGATCATTCTTGTTCTTTACTAATTATTGTTTACTGATCGTGAAATAGATTTCTCACAAAAATTCAAAAAGATATACCAATATATAGGGTGTCCCGAATTTAAATGTCAAAACTTCGAGAGCGTGTAGAGGACCGACTAAAAAACCAAACTAAGAAAAAACTTTTAGAGCCGATCTTTTAGAGATATTCTCGTTTTTGCTTCGTTTAGCAAAAAATCGCAAAAAAGACAAAACGTAGTTTCATTCATTCACTTATTTATTTACATTTTTACATTCTTATTTATTCACATTTTTATTTTTTACTACCTAATGTAAATATTGTTGAAATTGTTGACCTTTTGCAACAATGTAAGCATTGCATCCAGCGTAGACAACTCGTGTTGCAGCCGAACACTGATCTGGTGATATTTGGTGCACTGCAACCACAATTCGGTCTCTCAATTGTTCTCTTGAATTGACTGGCAATAAATAAATTTCCTTTAGGGCTCCCCACACAAAGAAATCCAATGGTGTTAAATAAGGTGATCAGGGTAGCTAAGATATCATTCCTTCACGTCCAATCCATCGTCGTGGATAATGTCTGTGTAACCAAGCTCGAATAGCTCTGCTATAATGAGCTGAACATCCATCGAACTAGAACCATATTTCAATTCGTTGCAGGTGGATGTCTTCTAAATAATTAGAGAAATCTCCTTCGGGGGCTCGAGCCATGCTTGATGCAATCTCTCCTGTCGTGCTCCAGGAAGATTATTTGTATATTTGTCAATGGCGTTGGAGGGTGTCGCCGTTGCAGTACGACCTGCATCCATCGAGAGAATAGGACCATCATCTCTCTGGAGTACCAGTCGTAGAGATTTGAGAGAATACATGTATATATGTATATTGTAATATACATATATATGTGTATCATTGTATTGTTGACGCGTTATTCTAAACACGTTATTTGCGATAAGTATCATCACATGTCTCGGTAGTCGAAGGGATAAGATGCCTGCCTGGTAAGCAGGAGATCCAGGTTCCTGGCTGAGGTGGTATTTTTTCGCAAAAATAATTACGAGTTTTCACGACTGGTTCGTGGTCGGGCCCCGTCGTGACGCACACCCTCCCTTCTTATTGGGACATAGAAGAAGAAATTTGTATAGCTGACTGTATTTAATCTGTCAGGTAAAAAAAATGGTCCTACTAGAAAATTGTTCCATATTTCGAGCCAAACATTAATAGCAAATTCATGCTAGAACCTGTATTCTCTTACAGTCCTGGATTTTCATGAGCCCATACATGATAATTTTTTATTAATAATTCCTTTCTTGTAAATGTAGCTTCATCCATCCACATTATTTTTGATGGAAATGAATTATCATTATCAAATTGCTCAAAAAATCAATTGCTAAAATTCAACTCTCTTGAAATAATCTAGGGGTAATAAATTCTGCATTTTTTAAATATGGTACGGATGGCGGTTATCATCTTTTAAAGTTTGCCAGATTGTCTGCCGCCGTACTTGTAATGCAACTTCTAATGCTCTCCGGACGCTGGTCTCAGGATTGTTATTAAAATACCGCGGGACACGATTTTCTACTTGCAAATTTTCTCTCAATGAGCGCTAATGAATTGATAATGAGCTGATTTCTCGCAGTTTAATGAAAGTCAACGTAATGACTCGCCGATCCGGCATTCTTCTGTTTGAAAATCCGTAGCAATATCATCGTAAAAACTATATACGAAAACTATATCAGCATATTCAACGTTAGAATACGTACGCGGCATATTGTTACAGGAGTTCATTTGTTGGCTTCTGATGAATAACTGACCAAATTATAAGAGAAAGGCAAAAATGTAAACAAAGTTTTCAACAGAATACGAAACATGCTGATATGGTTTTCTCTTGCTTACTTTAAACTAAAGCAATGTTAAGAAAAAAAATATCCACAATGTCTTACGATTTTCTAAGATATTAATTTTTTGTACATAAAACAGTAAATGTAAATAATAAATGTAATTATAAGTGCAATATATATTCCATCTACATAATTCAATTACTTGTGTCTCATTAGAAATACATAAGTTTGTTGCTTGTACATTATTTTGCGCATGTATTTTGAATTATTTATGTATTACTTTTATATTTTAATTGCATGAATTGCTTGTTACATATTCAAATGTTATGTTCTAAGTGTACGCGATGAAAATTTTCGTGATTATACAATCTCGAAATGTCTCTATTCTCCTTTCACGAGAAAATCAAGCAGAAAAGCAAGCAGAATATGCAACGTGAAAAATGGAGTGCTAGATAGATAAATACTAATATAGACACACAGTATGCGTATAAAGTCATTTATTATTATTATTATATTTTTAAAAAATAGTATTTCGAAAAATAGTTTTCTTATACGAATGAATTCATATTAAAATAATCTTTAATTTTCTTATATAAGTTTTAAATTAAAAAAAAAATATTAAGTGGTATATATTAAAAAATAAAAAAATTGAAAAAATTTCTTAATATCGTTATAAAATATTCTTGAAACCATTTCTTTTTTTATTCAAAACAATAATTAATTGTTTGTAACGAATTTTAATTAAAATTTTAATTAATTTTCTAATTTTAATTAAAATTAAATGATTTTATTGTTATAGATCATAATTGTCGTCGAGTCTAATATTCTATAGTCTGAGTTCAACGACACCAGAATATCGTATTACTTGCAATTTTTTTTTCTAATAATAAGGGAAGCATATTGACTATTTATAATTTGCGGAGTTTCAAAAAAACCGTTTTGCAAGAAATTTTTAAGTTTTCATGTATTTCTCTTTGCTGCAATAGAAAAGCTTGTTAAATTTTGTTGGCAGGTAGAAGAAAGAAATTGGGAAAACGGACCGGAATGATGTAGTATAAAGCTTAAAAAATTACAAATAATAAAAAAATGGAAATTTAAAAATTATTAGCTTAAAAAAGTAAGAGTTAAACATTAAATTAAATGATAATAAAAGTCTTATTTACATTAAGTAATAAAAAGACAATCTAAAGATAGTTTAAATAATAAAGATAGACAGAATAAAGTTTAGTAAAATTTAATAGATATATTACAAAAATTTAAGAGCTTAAAAAATTATCAAATAGTTTGTAACTATTAAATATTATTAACAAATAATTAATGAATATAAATTAATTCTACATTTTTAAAAAGCAGTCGGGAGACGCCACGTTGCACGCAGGCACGTACGCACGCATGCACATATTATATAGTTCATATTTATATATTATATAGTCA